TACTACACTGAGGCCTCCAGGAGAGGACACATCCTCACAGATACTACACTGAGGGCTCCAGGAGAGGACACATCCTCACAGATACTACACTGAGGGCTCCAGGAAAGGACACATCTGCAGAGATGTTACACTGAGGGCTCCAGGAAAGGACACATCTGCAGAGTTGTTACACTGAAGGCTATAGGAGGTGAATGTGTCTGCACAGATGTTACACTGAGGGCTCCAGGAGGGGGATGCATCTACATAGACATTACACTGATGGCTCCAGGAGGGCACACATCTGCACAGATGTTATAGGAAGAAGCATTTGTGTCCTGACGGGAACTGGTGGTTCCTAAGGCCTGGGCTCTCCCTCCTCACCACTGAGAGCATGAAGGCACGGTGAGGGGCAGGGAGGTGGGAGAGGGGATGAGGCCAGGGCGCACTCCAGCCCAGGATTTGGCAAGCCTTTCTTGGAGATGCCTGATAGGAAATGACTGCAGCTCACAGGCTGCATGTCAGTCACAGCTGCTCAGCAATGCTCCTGCAGCACAGACACAGCTCCAGTCTCTGCACAGGCGGGTAAGCAGGGCTGTTCCATTGACAGTTTACAGAACCCGGTGCTGGGCTGCGCCCACAGGCTGAGGGTGCCGACCCCAGGCTTTGGTCCTTGTCCTGCAAAGTCTGTTGGAGCCCAGTCCATTCAGCCCAGGAGCTTTTGAGAAATGCAGAGCCTCGGGCCCCACGCAGACCCACCCCACAGGACTGCACTAGGAGGGCCCCACGCAGACCCACCCCATAGGACTGCACTAGGAGGGCCTCACGCAGACCCACCCCACAGGATTGCACTAGGAGGGCCCCACGCAGACCCACCCCACAGGATCTGCACTCGGAGGGCCCTGGAGGACTCAGGAACACGTGTGTTTGTGGAGACACTTCTCTACCTCAGCAAACAGCTCTCAGCACACACACATGGGACAGTCGACTCCAGAAATAGGGAAAAGCTTGTTGAGGGCCTAGGTTTGCTGTCTGAATATAGAATACGCTGCACACAAATCCTAGTTATCACTAGAGCACGACTGGAGAATGAGCCTTTTTCGCTACAACATGGAGGGCGGTCCCTCAGGAGCCCCCCTGCGAAGGATCAAAGTGCCCGGCCAAAACTGGTTTTAAATAACATTCTCTTCTCGATGAACTCTGAAAACATCATGCTAAGTGAAAGAGCCAGTCGGCCGGGCGCGGTGGCTCAAGCCTGTAATCCCAGCACTTTGGGAGGCCGAGACGGGCGGATCACGAGGTCAGGAGATCGAGACCATCCTG